CTGCCTGGCATATGGGAGGCACACAACAACCACAAAATGAATTAAATATCCCTGGCACGGAAGAGTAGGAAAAAAAGCAAAAATTCTTTTTCCGGAGATGTCTCAAGATAAAACGTTGGCTAAATTTGTGGATTGAGGGGCTGAGGACGTTTTTTATTTTTCTGGTATCTGTCACATTTAAGGGGGATGCCATTTCTGTTCACAGACCCGCCTTTCCTCCTAACCCAGTGATACTCCTCTCAATAATAACCGTCCTAACTCGTTCCTTTATTTTAGCCGGATACAGAACTTGATCCTTTAAAAATACTCATCATTTCATTAAATCTTTAGTGCCACCTTGTGAGGCATAGAGAAAAGTATTAACATCCCCACTTGGGAAATGAGGAGATGGCATGGCAAATCTACTGACTTGCCCAAATTTACACGTTACTGGCTAAATGGATTTGAATCCAGGCTCTCTGACGCTAGTCACCTATTCAGATTTTGTGCATGCCCGCCCCCCCCCTTCCCCCAGAACACATTTCTCAAACCATCTTCTCCTTCCTACTGTCTCTATTTCCCATCCGGTTTAAAAAGTGATGGAAAAAAAAGAATTTAAAAAATCCTGGCTACATGAGTAAGAGGAAGCAAAATGTACCAATATTAGGACAGTGGTGAAGAAACCAGCCTGCATGATTTTTTGAGGGCTTCTTAGCCAGGCAGGTTGGAATGGTTTGGATTAGTAGTTTAAATAGGGGTTGGGGGTGTGGCTCAGTGGTAGAATGCTTGCCTGGCATGCACAAAGCCCCCGGTTTTATTCATCTCCAGCACTTTGAGGAAAAAAAAAAGTAAAGTTCAAGCAGATTCTGGCTTATGAGAAAGAAAGAATCAATGACTTGCCCTATCTTCCTCCCTTCACAGTAGCTCTTTAAGTCAACAGATACCTGAGTCCCTTCTAAAGGCAGGGTACAGGGCTTCTTGTCACTGCATCACATAGGAGCTACAGCTTTGTGAAACATCAGGCCGAGGGACCCATAAAAAGTAACCCTCCAAAGTAATTTTCAGATTTTAGAGCAGATGCATGTGGGCTGCAGAACCTTCTCTGCCTGTCTGCTCCTTAAGATGTTACATAAATCTCTGGCTGGCTCGCTCTCTCTCTCCCTCTCCCTCTCTCTCTCATTAACCTGAACTGTTGTACTGTTTCTTCCAATCACTCTGCCCTTAAGATCCCTCACACTCTCTCCCTTTCTCATGGCAGCCACCCCTCTTTCCACATGCCACACTCTTCCCCTGACCTGTTCTTAAAGTTGATTTCTCTTTTACCAGGTGAACCTCATAGCACCTGATTTTAGATCTATGGGGGACTGTTTTCCAAAAGCTTAAGAAGTTGGAATAAGCACTCTTGAGTTTCTTTACACATTTTTATAGCACTGTCTCTTCAATGAACTTGACACTACCATATACACAAACTACAAAAATAACGCTCAAGCCAATTTTTATCTCGTCTTTGGTGAAGGTGAGATACTGGGAGGTCTTATGATGGGGTTACCTCCCTAATTATGTCCATTCTTAAGATATCAGTGCCAGTAATTATTCAATTGAATATTTTATAGGTAACTCCACTTATGGGAAAAAGAAGACTACCAGAGGTAAAAACTTGTGATTTGCTGCCTGCAAATT